TTTACGGGACTGTGGTACAGATTAAGGCGGTACTGATTAACGCCGGTCCCGGACTCGAGCTCGCGCCCAAGGAAAGCGTACAGGTCCCTGGAAGCGGGTGGAGGTCGGAGAGGTCGAGGCAGCCTGCGCTGTGGCCAGGCAGGCTTGGTGGGCTTTAGTCTCTCAGTATGTGTTCTTTAAAGTCTTGACAGGTTATTAGCAAAGGAAGGGGCACCTCGGGGTCATGAAGATGCCTCTCGCTCTGGCCCAATCGTGCTGAGGTTGGCTCATTCCTCGGTCGGGTCCAGTAAAACAGCCCAAGCACAGCCTGGAATCTTCCCGCATCCTCGCGGGAGTAGAGTCTGGCCTTGGGCCCTGAGTACCCTGCAGTCGTCAGGGACGAGTTCCAGGCCAGGGAGGCCATGCGAAGGGTTTCCGCGGCAGGGCGAGGGGAAAGGAGGGAAGAAGGAATCCTCTCCGCGTCATCAGTATGGCGGTCTTGTGATTCTCCCACACCCAGGTTCCAGCTCAGCCCCCAAACTGCTGCCCCAAGGAAACAAGTTGGGGAGTGTGGATTTAGACATAACAACGGGTGTGAGCTGATGTCCTTATAACCAGAAATATTGAGACTAGAAAATCAGCTCCGAATCCACGACCCTCAAATTGATGCTTAATCACATCCTCGACTCCAGAAAAGCTGCTGGGGACAGACATGGTCAGGTTTTGCCAAGGGTTCATTAAAATAGTCTGCACTGGAATAACCGGGTGCAAGAGATCACATCTTCACTCAGGGCTCTGGGGATCCCCTCGTCGCCCCAGGTCAGTGGGTGGGGAGGAGGGCAAACCTCTGTCTTTTGTTTGTGGGTGAGGGATGCGAATTGTGGCAGCAGCCGAGCAAAGGGGGGAAATTAATTGCAGCCAATTAATAATTAATCCCCTTTAAACAGCTTTATTATCTCTTCCGAGCGACAGAGATTTGTCTGATAACCCCCTGAAGACCAAATGTCAAGTTTAACCAAATAGTTATTGCTTTATCAACCCGAGTCTGCAAATAAATTAATCAAAAGCAAATCTGTCCTTTGTGCGGCTCATTTGCTGGTAATGGATGGATATGAAGATTTGCCGATATTATTGTCTGTCATTCAATCTAACAAAGTGAACATTTATTGCATATATATTAAAAATTATCCCGGAATCGAGTGGCGCCGGGTTGCATTTATTGGAGTCTTCCCAGGGGTGAGGTCCCCTCGGATGGGGGCGCGTGGGATAGAAAGTGCAGGAGCGCGAGTCTCAAATCTCTTTAGGACTCTGTGCCTGCCTCTGTCCCCCTCCCCGCGGCGACCTCCCTCTATCCCCTTCCCAAGCGTTCGCCCGGAGCCGTGGGACGTGCCTGCCGCCTCCTGTCGCGCGGCCAGGGCCAGCGGGGCGCGGGGAGCCCAGCTACTGTCAAAACAGAGTCCTTCAGCCCTAAGCACTCACAAGGGGTTCGGCCCTAGGAAATTTGGGGAGGGGGTGTGATTGAAGAAAGAGAAACGGGAGGGGGACAGCTTCCCTTTGTCTTCTCTCGAGTTACATCATTTTCTAATTAGGCATAAAATTGTCTTCATACACTGGTATTGCGGCCTTCATAAACATCGCCATTATGGTTTATAAGGACGCCATTGTGATGAGGCTGTCCCAAAATAGAAAGAGCTGGGGAGGGAGAGGCCTGGAGTCCGGGAGGCCCCGCTTTGTCCTCCCCTGGGAGAAGATAGATGACCAGTGTCACGCAGATGATGACTTGGGACTATTAAATTGTCAGAGGGGAGCAGAATCTTTACCAGCCCCCAGCGCTGGTGGAAAATTCTAGAGGCAGGAGCCGGGGATTCTTGGATGGGAGGGGAAGGCCGGGCAGCTGGATTCACTGGGCAGGTGGAAAAAGAGGTAGGTTAGTGGCGGGCAGAGGCAGAGCGGAGGGCAGTGGGGGCCGAGGCTTGGATCTCCTCCTGGGGCACCCTGACTTCGCTGCTCTCTGAGCTCAGGGCCACTGGATCTGGAGCTGACCTCTCACCCGATCCCCATCGCCAAGGCTGGGGAACAAGCAGGCTGGAGAAATGAGAGGGGCAGCGAACCCGGAGGAGTGGCGGAGGTCTATGCCAGGCGGGGAGACAATTGTTCTCATTATTCGAAGCTGAGGTCCAAGCCGGGCCACCCGCCCGGTCGGGGGGCGCGTCGCTAACTGGATGGAGATGGATGGAGGCGCCCTGAGCCCCCGGCGTCCTGTCAGACCCGGGGCAATTACTGTCCCGCCAGGATGGACACACTGCCCTGCCACCCTGACCCCGGCGTGCAGGCCCACTGGCCCACTGGCTGCCTAAGCCGCCTGGGTGATTCTCTCTCTCACTTTTACAATAACCCAACTTGACATAAATAACTCCCCTACGCTTGTCTACATCTGCTTGACCCCCTGAACCCGCGGAAAATCTTTTGTTGCATTTAGTTAACTTACATTTTTCTACAGAAAAAAAAAAAAAGCTTTTAAAACTGTGTATTCTAGCCCCGTCTTATTCACCTCTAGTTTGGGTTCTGGTGTATGTTAGAATTCACACTGTCCTTCCAAATCGTGGAGGACAATTCCCTCCTAGGAAGACATGTTTCTCCCTGTTTATGCTGCAGGCACAAGTGTGCTGTTTCGGGAGTCCTGAGTTTTACAAGGTGGCCTACAGACACTTGGTGCTCCAGGAAGTGGTCAGGTCTCCAAAATCGTCTCCCCTGATAGCTGGGGTGGGAGTGGGGGCCAAAAAGGTGAAGAGAGAGGACAGCAGCTCTCAAGAGTGCTGATCCCCTGCTTGGTCCTGGCTGTCTAAGGGTGCAGCTAGGGGAGGAGGCCACTTGGCAGGAGCAGCCAGGTGCCCCACGTGTGCTGTCTCGCTGACCTGATCTGGCAAGGTTAGGAGGGGGTGAGCCCTGGAAGTGCCAAACTGGCGCCATGCACTGCTGTCACGAGGTGCCAAGACAGGAGGGAGCTGATGACGGAAAGAGGATGGGAATGATTCAGAGGATTCTGTGGAAATTGCCTGGTCTGGTCACTCTGGTTGGCATGGGCCTGGGGATGCCAGGGCCAGCTTTGCTCTCCAAGGCATCCTCTAGGTGGGGGGTGGGTAGCATTACCTGCAGCAGCCTTCCTACCAGTCATCTCCTGCCTACTTAGTCCCAGGTGGCTACAAGTCAGAAGATCAGGACAGGATCTCAGAATTTAGAGATGGAAAGGCTCTTAGAAGTCAGACAGCCAGAGTGACTCCCAAGTGTGATGGTATAACCCTTGGATAAGACCCCCTTGGGGCCCCTGATAGGTTTGGGCCCCTAACTGTCCCTGATGTCTCCATCCACAGAGCAATATGGGAAGAGCTGAGGCTGGGCCTGGCCAGAGTAAGCTCCCTCAAACACAGGCCCTGTGGCCTGGGCTTTCCTTGTTCAAGGGTGAGGGAAGCAGCAGTTGCAGCAACAAGACCTTGACTTAGCAGCTATATCAAATCAAGTCAAAACAAACAGTAATTTCGGGATTCCAAAACTCTGAGGCCAGTTTTTCTTATAACACATTCCCCCCCACCCTTTTTTTTTTTTTGAACGAGGTGGCTCATGCCTGTAATTCCCGCACTTTGGGAGGCTGAGGCAGGCGGATCACCCGAGGTCAGGAGTTCGAGACCAGCCTGGCCAACATGGCAAAACCCATCTCTACTAAAAATACAAAAAATTAGCTGGGTACGGTGGTGCATGCCTGTAATCCCAGCTACTCGGGAGGCTGAGGCAGGAGAACCTTGGAGGCAAAGGTTGCAGTGAGCTGAGATGGAGCCACTGCACTCTAGCCTGGGCAACAGAGCCAAAATTTGTCTCAAAAAAAAAAAAAAAAAAAAAAAAGGCCGGAGTATGGTTTTCACATTATCACTCTCAATGTCATTGGAGGTACGTCCAAGCTGGTGTCTCTTTGATTAGTCTCCCTAATCCCATCTACTCATTTACTAGCCATTAGTCATTCTTTAACTGAGTCCAAAAATGTTTGTGAGGAGATAGTCCCATATGAGATTAAAAGAAAGAAAGAAAAACAAAACAAACAAACAAAACACAGAAAATCAGGTACTGAAGGGTTTCTGATGTAACTTGTTTGTGGGACTATGGGATTTTGGTTCAGCCTAGATTTACCAGCTCCTGATTTGGGGACCTCGGTCAGGAACTGAAGGACTCTGAGCCTCAGTTTTGTCTTCTGTGAAATGAGGGCATTGGATGCATGCTCTGCAGGTCCCCTAGGTCCTCTAGGTGTACTAAAACAGGCACTATTTACAGCCCACACAGGCATGAACATCAAAGTGCCTGCATAGGTTTGAGGGAGATAACAATTTCTGACCGTGCCTCTGAACTTCCAATTCCAAATCATGAAGGACAAAGTACAGGGAAGATGTAAAACACACACTAGGTTAGAAATCAGACTGTCATTGATTTAGTAAAGTTGGTTGGCTTATTTGATATTTCTGAATCTGCTTCCTCTCATAGACAATGGGAATAATAATGTCTGCACTATTCACTCTACAAAACAGTTGTGAGGATCAACTCTGATAGTGCATGTAAATGTGTTTTGAAAACTAACAAGTATCATGGAAATTAAAAATACAAACAAGAAGCTATGACTCCACTCTGTAGAAGGCACCCACAATTAATGAGTGCCGGGAAGATGGGTTTCCCCTTTCTTTTGGTGCGGCAACAATTAGAGTCTTGGGCAGCAGATGTACACAATTGGAATGACATACTACTTGCTGTGCTGCTGTCAGGGTAGGACATTCTCTCCTTAATTTTCAGCATCTACCTGTGGATACTAAAGAGACGGTCTTTTTCATATACAGGTGAAGTCCCAGAGATATCTGGCACATACAGCAGAAATACTTGCTTCAGTAAGCTTCAATGCATTTTAAGGACTCTGTTGCTTGGAAGATTCCTTGAAAATAAGATTTACTATTGATTGGAAGAAAGTGAGGAAAGTGAAAAAGTCTTTTGAAGTTTTTTGGCTGATCCTCCCTTCTGAAGAAAAACATGTTTTTCTTCTTAGCAGGAAAAGTAAAACAAAACCCAAACTGTTCTTTTTATAATATACTCCTTGCTAAGAACTTTGTTAGCTTACTTAGGTTAGGGAGGTGAAGTTACTTTTAAAAGAAGCTTTATCTCCTTGCTGAAACGGGCGGAGGAAAATAATGTGTTTTGAGAGAAAGGACTTTGACTCTTATAGAGAAAATGTGCGCCTCTCACGGGGAAGCCTTGGAAGGGGGAAAGTTGGGTGGGGAGGAAACCTCAAGAAAAACAAGGCCCACCTTTCTCCTGATGCTCAAAACGTTGGCAAAGCAGCTAGCAAGGCATTCATCCCATTTGGCCTGTGGAGATCTTCTGGCAGGTTCTCAATTAAGGGAGCTGCCTTTCCTTTCATTCTCTTAACTTTTGTGTTCAATGTTAACAACCTGATGCTATCTATTATGGTGCCATTATCACAGAATGTTGACTGAACTGGTTCTTTTATCTCCATTATGGGGTTGCCTTCCTTGCAGATTTATGCATTTTTGATATTAAATTCTTTATCTCATTAAGCCTACACTCTTGTTGACTTTCATTGACTCTCTGCCCTGGTCCCCAATACTTTTCCATATTTAATATTGAAAGATTTTTCTCAATGCCCCTCTTGGCTTTGTTGCCATCCGTTTGACGGCTGTCCCTAATGGCCTGTGCTGTTTGCTCTGTTCTTGAACTTGGTGGGGTCACACATTCTTAAACAGTGATGTCCTCTGAATGTCCACCCTTGCTGTCCAGCTAAGTTGCCCTGTGTCACAAGCTCTGCCCTCTTCTCCGCCCCTAACTACCAACTGCGCCTAATTGCTTCAACAAACACCTTCCCTAGTGGTGCCCCAGGCCCCCTGAGCCTTTTGGGTTTTGTTTAGCTGCTAATGTTCTGCCTGGCCCACCAGCGGAATGGCCTCACTGACCTGATACATCGCAGCTCTTCTCCTTGGAGCGCCTGTCTTGTCCAGCGCCCCCTGGGCCAAAGGCCAGGGTCT